GTTGCTTATATCTTTACAATTTATGTTGTTTTATTTGTTTCCGGATTGCTTATTTGTATCCTATGACTATCATTAAGTGTTGTATCTTATGATTCGTGACGAATGTGTCTTGTCTTTTTATGTACACTGAAAACATATGCAAGACAAATTGCTTGTGTGTCCAATCACACTTGGCCAATAAAAAATTCTATTCTATTCTATTCTATTCTAGGTTTGTTCCACCACACTTTTCATATTAACACCATATGTTTCATCATATTCATATTTATTTTGAGTACACAAAATTATAAATCCAAATCAACCATTTTACATTTTTGTGGAATGTGAGAATCCTGTCATAAGGCAGCCAGAAATTTCAAAGAAATTATGTATAATTTGAAAAGGCATCCCTCACTCAAACTAATAAGGAAGGAGCAAGTTTGTGTGAGAATAAATCCCCACTACTGAGTATATTGAAAAGAGCACCATGGGCTAACAGAAATGTGATGAATAACAAAAGATATTTTAAAGTACAACTGCATTGGTCTAAATGTATGTTTTTGTATGTGTGTGTATATTTGAATTTTATAGCTGAATAACAATAACAAACTCCATTTAAAATATAAAATAAAGAATAATTCATTAATTATAAGTTGCTAATGCAGCTACTCCTGTTCTTCATTACTATCAGACTAGTCCAGTCAAGGCTGGAAGGAACAACAGAATATGGAGCTGTCAGATAAAATTCTAGACCAGTCTTATCACCAATGCCTGCAGGCACTTTCTTTGAGCATTCATCTTTAAGAAAGTATTTCATGAACTCACAATGGCAAGACAACTTTAAAAAAAAAGTTGCAAACGAGTTTTAAATGTATAATTTACTTAGTTTGCCTATTTTAAATGGTGAGTTAGTAATTTTAATAGAGCTTATTGAAAACAGTTTTAGAAGAATATTTTAAATTACAATACAGTATAATTTTCTTTGTAGCCCTCTGACTGAGATCTAAATAACACCATCTTCCTCATAATTATTAACATAATTCACTGAAATTCCCAACTTATGCCTAGATCATAGACTCTGATCTGGTTCATGCTTACGTAACCATAGTTTGTTGAACGCTTCATAATGACTGTGCTTAGCCAAAAACAAACTTCTTCACCTGATTACCCCAATATCATTACCTATACAAGGTTTAACTTAAAGCATGTTTCTATTGGTTAAATGCCTGAAAAAGGCAATTATTTTCACCTTTTATAGTTCTGAAGTTTTAAGATACACTTGTTTTTGTATCATTTCCAGGATGAACTTCATCCCAATATCTATTGCCATCATGGACGGGGGGCAAAACAGACTGAAAATTTCTACTTTTTTTTCCTTCCCCAAAACCCTTGTGGTCTGTATTATTCAGCTGGAATAACCTTAACATCATAATGCACCCTTTGGAAGGAGGATACCTAGAGTTACATATTGCTTATTGCACCAAGCCGAAATATGCTCATTTCACCCTGGTTTAATATGTTGGGTGACTTATAGACACTGTAAGCTTTATAGTTTTACTCCCCTTGGAAATGATGCCACCAAAATGAAGGGGGCCTAAATGCCCTGCTCTTGAAAAGGCATATCCATAACAGATGGGCCAGCCAGATCACTGGTCAAGGAAAACCATCAGTTTGAAATACTTCCATTGTCAGTAGTTTGATCACTTTTAAAGTTTATTGAAAATTTACCTTCTTACAGCTAAAGCTACTTCAATCTAGTTCTGCATCGTGAAAAAACAAAGATCAAGCTTTTGCCTCCCTTAAAAGGAACAAGGGTTTTTGATACTGTACTTGAATTCCATCATTCCACCAACCTCTTTTCTTTCCTTATATCTTATCTCCTATTATCAGATGCCCAGCTGGGTAGTCTACTGCAGTGGTCTCCAACCTTGGCAATCTTAAGTCTGGAGGACTTCAACTCCCAGAATTCCCCAGCCAGCTAAGCTGGCTGGGGAATTCTGGGAGTTGAAGTCCTCCAGACTTAAGATTGCCAAGGTTGGAGACCACTGGCTACTGCACTCCCCAAAAGGGTAAGCACTGTTTAAGTCCATGAACGGGGAAACCACCAGGAACCAGGAGCTAAGAGCCAGATCAATAAGTCTAAGAAATATTGTGTAGAAAGTCAATGGTAAATCTCATGCAGTCGCCAAGACATCAATATTTTTTTTTATTTAGTTTGTCAAATCACACTTGGCCAATCAAGAATTCTATACCTATAACAGGTAAAGTATAAACATGGACACGAGCAAAGGAAATGAGTATATTAGGAATTAAAATATTAAGAAGTCACGTGCACTCCAAAGATTCCTGGACTAAGGAATTTGCACCGCCTCCTTCGCCGTCTTGAAAGGATTCGGAGAAGCACCTTCGAAACCTTTTAAGGTTCTCCCCTGTCCCAATAGCGCGGGAACATGCCTGAAGAAGCCGGACGGCGCAAGCTGGAGGACCCCGAGACTCACCCCTTCGACCGCCCGTCCCAGCGACTGCTCCGGCTCTTGAAAGTGGCTGGATTGACCGGTGTCTTGCAATGGAGGGTTCGGAGGCAGCTTGCCTTCTTGCCCCCGCGGCGGATCTTTGGCTCCAGCACCTGCCATCCCAGCTTAGACAGTAGCCTCTCCAGATTTCTGCCCCCGGCTTTTCGGCACTTGATAATCCGGGGCGGGACCGATCGCAGGAGGGAGCCTTGTGTGGAGAGCACTGAAAAGCCAGCCGCTTTTCCCACAGCTTCGTCCAGAGCCTTCCGGACCCGTTCAGTAGGACACGGAATGTTCCTGTGCCGCGGAGAAGGAAACCAGCCTCACCTCGTGTCCGACTCGCGTCTTCTGGGCAAGGATACAGCCTGCATTTTGCTTCCAGTTTAAGCGCAAAGCCCCGTGCGGGAGCCATGCATTGCACCCGAGTCTCAAATCATCCCCATCCCCTTCTCCCTTAAAGCGCAGCCTGCCCGCCTAGCACTGTTCTTTCACTGCACCCGAATGTTGCTCCACCGGGACACGCTGGGTTGGTTGGCGCAAACCTGTCGTTGTGCGGAGCAACTTGTTAGTTGCCGCCTGAGGTGCGCGGGAACGCAGCTCATCGCACTTCATCTTGGAACTAAATTTGCAGGAAGGCGCTGGTTGCAACGGCTGGAATGCAAGCCGCGGGGGCTGGCTTGACGGTAAAATACAGTACACCATTTTACGGTAGTGGTTCCGTGATATGTGCCCCTAACATTGAATAAATGGACTAAAATATACAGGCTTTTTAAAAGTTTTTTTTCCTTCCGCCTTTATTTTATAAATAAGGCGAGGAACATATCCAATACACCTCTCTCTTCCTATTTTCCTTCAACAACAACCCTGTGAGGTGGGTTGGGCTGAGAGAGAGAGAGAGTGAGTGACTGGCGACTTGCCCAAAGCCAGCCGGCTTTTGTGGCTGAAACGGGATTTAGAAATCAGTGTAAATAGTACCTTAATCACGACATACGTGGTTTTCCCGCGCTTGCAGAAAAGGCTTGGCGACCCGTCTCTATGTATTATGGTACTGTGTTGCGTTACAAATGCAAAATAAATACGCTCCACTCTCAGGCATATTATATACAAGTATTCCCCCCAAATTAAGACTATGGTGGTGTGTTTCCCCCCTCTAATTTACTCTTTCAAAATTGGAAAGATGTTCTAGATTTTCTGAGAATATATTGCAACGGGGCGGATGTAGTTTTTCTTTTCTTTTGAAGGGAAAGTGACTTAAGTTCCAAATTACATTCCATATTTCCATCCGGTACATAACAGTATTCCACATTTTAAGAACTTGAAAATGTTAAGTTGTACTATCGCAGAAATAACCCATTTTTAAAAAAGTTAATACTTGTTTTCAAAAGTCCAGTCAACTTTTGACTACCAAGAATGTATTTATTTAGGGAATTTATATTGCTGCCTATTCCTACATGGCGACTCGAGGTGGCTTACCGAATATAAAATCTCATATAAAACAGATTCCACTATGGATACAAATAGCCTGTTTTACATCCATGCTTCAACTTCCGAATTCGGTTTTGTATGGAAAATAAGTGTAAAATGGAATATTATGAAATAGGAACAATTCTGTTTAACCTGTTTGTATATCTAATTTCCAACTTAGTTATGATTACTTCATAGTACTATTAGGCTTTGGAGTAAAGTTAACAAATGAGAATTCCACATTTGTCAAAGGTGGTAATTCATTCCTGTTGGTGAAAATACCAAATCTGAAACAGGTTTTATATTCTTTGCCCCCTTTTAATTACCCGAGTCTCGACTAGGGATGAACAGAGAGATTGTCGGTTTTTCAACAGCAAATTTAACAACTATTGACACCTCCCCAAAATTGCAAGATCTGGATGCTGCTATGGCTATGACTGATATTTGTTTGACCTCAATGAAACATCCTGCAGATCATTTTCTAAACAGCGTTATTCAAATATTATTTCTTAAGGAAATTTGAGTTGCTTTTTTCTCATTTAAGGTTTCTTTTCAATGCATTCTTCATTTTAATCTAAAGAGGATGTCTTGAAAGAGCAGGAGAAATCTTTTTCAATGAAATACTTGTGGCTTTGACTATTCTACTGTACAACCAAAGCAATATACAAATAGTCCTTGATTTACAACAGTTCATTTAATGACATTTTGAAGTTACAATTGCACTGAAAAAAGTGACTTCTGACAATTTTTCGCACTTACAAGCATTGTAATATCCCTGTGGTTACGTGATAAAAAATCAGACTCTTGTCAACTGACTCATATTGGTGACTTATGCAGTGACCCAGGTCACCTTTTGTGACCTGACAAGCAAAGTCAATGGGGAAGCCAGATTCATTTAACAACCAGGTTACTAACTTAACAATTGCAGAGATTAATTTAGCAATTGTGGCAAGAAAGGTCATAATTTGGGGCAAAACCCACTTAACAAATGTCTCACTCAACAACATAAATTTTGTGCTCAATGGTGGTCATAAGTCGTGGACTACCTGTAGTAGCATACTAGGACATAATATCTCATACATGGTTTTTAACTTAAATGAAGTAGATGTTTTTGACGAGATGTCCTGGTTAAGATACATTGCATTCCAAGTAACAGATTCAGTTCTATGCATGTGTATATTGATGTATAAATAGATAAAATCAAACAAGATGTAAAGATCAGTTACTTTTAGAAACATCAGAGAGCTAGAAACAGAAAACATCAACATTTCTATACTGATTTTATACTCCACATTGTTCTGTGCTTTGTTAAGAGATATAACCTGCAGTTTTAAAAATAATGAATAGAAGATATAGCACATCCTACGAGGTGACCTTTTAGTTTCCTGAGACACTGGGACAAACACATCCTGAATTGTATGCAAGCATGTTTTTGTATGTGCTGATATATAAGTTATTGCTGTTGAGATTTCAAGCATATTTCATTTTTAAGTGGTTACATGTGTAACAATTCACAAAGATAGTATTTCACACAGAAGTAGGGAAGTCTGTAAACCTTACAAAGTTTTAATGATTTTGAAGACTGTTTAGACTTATTTGATTGCAGGAATTTACAAATAAAAATCAGTAAAATTAATTCTTACACAAAAGATGATACAATGGTAATAGAAATGAAATTATACTGTTCCAAATTGTGAGACTATATATTCCATATTGGTTTTTGCAAAAGAATGGACTTGGGGGGGGGGGATCATTTGTATTTTGTATTTATTTGTCTTGTATGCCGCCCACTCCCGAAGGACTCCGGGCGGCTCACAATAGACAAGGGAAGGGGGAAAGGGGGAAATCATATCATTTATTATCAGCTAGTTCCATGTTAAAGCATTTAACCAACTAAAAAAATACATGCACACAACCATACATAAAAATATTTTTTAAAATAATGCTTAAAATTCATTTTGATCTAGGGATGATATTAGTAGGTTTTGACTCTTAGCTCCTCCTCTTGGTCACTAGTAGAGGTAATTTGCAGATGGAGAAGACCCAGGTCACATACCACACAAAGCCTTATTTTGCTTTACCTTGATTTATTAATTGGCTCAATCCATACAAAGAAAGTAAAACCTAACATTATACTTTGTTTGAATCTAGCAGGATCTCTGACGTTTAGCCTTGGGACGTAGGAAACACCCTTGGCTATCCAACAATACCCTCTGCACCATTATGATGCATCAGGATAACCTACACTAAAATGAAAGGTGTAGAAAAAAGGTAAAAAAGGCAACCCCACAGGATTTGGGTAACCTAAATCATCCAAGAGGTGTGGTGGCATAGTGGTTAGAATGCAGTATTGCAGGCTAATTTTGCCGACTGCCAGCAGTTCGATCTTGACTCAACCTTCCAAGATTGGTAAAATGAGGATCCAGATTGTTGGGGGCAATACGCTGACTCTGTAAACAGCTTAGAGAGGGCTATAAAGCACTATGAAGCGGTATATAAGTCTATGTACTTTTCCTGTGCACCGCTTGGAGAGTCCAAGCAATGGTTAATTCAGTCTGGTTGCCCTGGGACTGAGGAAACTTTTCCCTGACCACGCCTCCTGGTGTGATCACTCCCCAGAAATTTTCCTCAGTCTGCCCGTTCGGATTACTTTCCCCTTTGTATTTGATTGCGTTGCTGCAGCTACGACCCTCTTGGAGTCCAGGAGGTAGGCGTGCTGGTGGGGGAGGGTGCTCTATTGCCACGCCGTTCAGGCTGGCTTCGGAGGCCTGCCGCTTGCTTTTAAAAAGCGTGGCAAGAGCGGCAGGGCTCTTATCGATCACAGCGAGTCCCTGCGAGTCCCCTTTATTGTGTTTCTCGAGTTTTTTTGTTTTGGCCATTTTTGTCCACCAGCCTGCCGCGGAGGAGCGTGCGACCGTCGGTTAACTGTGTAGTCACCGCGTTTGCCTCCTCATTCCCCCACGCTGTGCGGCGGCCATTTTTGGAAGGGTTTTTCGCGCCCTTTTACCTATTGGCTTGCTGCTCAGCCACGCTTTTTCAGGAGTCCGCTGGGCGGTCAAGGGCCCAAGCCTGGGTTCTCCCAGCTGGCCTCCTGCCGCCCTCACCATGCTCGAGGCGGTGCTGGTGCCTGGATCACTAGTGGCCTTTGCACCGGCACAGGGAGGGCTCCCAGGCCTTGCTCCTTTTTACTGCATGTGGCCTGGGCCTCCCTGCTCTCCTGAGGGGCCTTGCAGCCTAGCTGCAGGCCCATAACCTCCTATAACTACTAGTGGCACTGTTTTTTTTATGTTTATTCTCTTACTGTGTGGCATACAATACTGTATTTATATTGCACCTTTTCCTTATGGAGACTTTTTCTGTTCTTATTGCAGTGTAGCCAGTCAGAGCCTCCGGTCCTCCTGCCATCGGCTGCACTTGACAGAGCAGCCTATGAGGTCATTGACCATGGAACTGCCCCAGGTCTATCAGACAGTAGACCAGGTCCTTCTCAGGCTCCTAGCAAGGTTTCTCCTCCTACTAAGGGTGGTGGATCTGGTAGAGGCAGGGTGGCTACCCAGGGGCATCCCCCCACGGCCCCTTCAGTGGCTGAGGCTAAGGATGCTGAAAGGTGCCAACGGGCTCTTGACAAGCAGTTCGAAAAGGCCCGGCACCAGGCAGCAAAGGAGGCTCCTCAAACTGCTCCTATTGGGGAATCCTTTGTTCTTCCCCTCCCAAGGGGAGATCCTCTGGCCTTGATAGTTGAGGTGGTAGAGTCCCCGGATCTGTCCCCTGAGAGGTCTTTGGCTGAGCCACCTTCACCAGCTCCCTCCTGGTCTTATGACCAGGCCCCCATTCCTGACCAATCGGGGGATAGGGCACAGTACAGATCCTCCTTTCGGGACAGGGGTAGACAACAGTTTGGGTTCCGCAAGTACAACTGCGATGGGGCCTCTAACAGGCCCTTCTGCAAGTCCAAGTGACTGTCCAAACTCATCGCCCATAGGGGGTTGGCTTCAGCTGTTCGCCTCCCACTGGGCCCAGACCTCGGAGGACACCTGGGTCCTCCAGATTGTCAGGGAGGGCCTCTCCCTGCTGTTCCTGTCCCCTCCACCTCAGAATTTCATCAGGTGCCCCACTCCCTCCTGCCCTCTCAAGAGGGAGCTCATGAACCAGGAGATCCTTCATCTCCTGGAGATAAATGCGATAGAACAGGTGCCCCACGATCAGGAAGGGAGGGGTTTTTACTCCATCCTTTTCCTGGTGCCGAAGAATTCAGGGGGGTGGAGGGCCATCTTGGACCTCAAGAACCTCAACAGGCACATCGCTTATCGGAGGTTCAAGATGCAGTCCCTCCAGGCGGGAATCCGACAGGGCGATCTCCTCACCTCTATCGACCTAAAGGAGGCCTATCTTCACATCCCCATTCGTCCCCAGCACAGGAGGTTCCTGTGCTTCTTCTATGCTGGCCAACACTTCCAATACAGGGCCCTTCCATTCGGACTGTCATCAGCACCCAGGACCTTCACAAAGGTCCTGGCGGTAGTGGCGGCCCAACTCAGGCACAGGCCCATAAGGCTGCAATGCTACCTGGACGACATCCTCATCCAATCGTCGTCCAGGCAGCAGGCCTTGCGGGATCTCCGCATCACCATGAGGACCTCAGGAATCACGGCTTCTCCCTCAATCTGGAGAAAAGCCACCTTTCTCCTACCACCAGATTCAATCACCTGGGGGCGGTGATAGATACCATGTCGTGCAGGGTGTTCCTATCCCAGGACAGGCTAGATGTCCTCAGGTCCATGACCACAAGGTGTTGCATGCGAGGCAGGTTCCAGTGGTCCTCCTGTCCCAGCTGTTGGGGAAAATGATCTCATGTCTTTCGATCGTTCCCTGGGCCTGACTCTATTTCAAGGCACTGCAGTGGCTTCTCCTGCCCCACCAGAGAGCCAGCAGGAGCAACTCAACCATACAACGTCATGTTGTATGTGTCCCTCCGTCGGTGAAGAGGTCCCTCCGGTGGTAGATGTCATTGGCACTTCTCAAGGGTCATATCTTCAAGGAACCCGACTGGGTGGTCATCACCACAGATGCCAGTCTTGCCGGCTGGGGGGCGCACATGGGTCATCTCATGGTTCAAGGCAAGTGGTCCCCAGCAGAGTCAAGCTACAGCATCAATTTCCTAGCACTTCGCGCTGCAAGGTTGGCCCTTCGACACTTTCACCAGTCCATCCGTCATCATCACGTTCTGCTGATGACGGACAATGTGGCCACCAAAGCACACATCAACAGCCAGAGCGGTACCAGATCCAGGAAACTGATGGCAGAAGCGGAGACCCTAGGCCGCTGGGCGGAGCGTCATCTGGAGTCCCTCCACTCCGACCACATCTCGGGAGTGGAAAACACCAAAGCGGACTGGCTAAGCAGGACCACCGTCGACCCTGCGGAGTGGCGGCTGGATCCTGTCTTGTTCCACCAACTGTCCCGCAGGTTCGGTTTCCCATTCCCTTTTTGCCACCAGGGACAACATGCAGTTCCAGCGGTTCTTCTCCCGCTTCCACTCACCAGGGGCAGAGGGGACAGACGCTCTACGTTGCAGCTGGCATCGGGGCCTGCTATAGGCTTTCCCCCCTCTCCCCCTGCAGGTTCTCAACAAGATCATAGCAGAGGGGGTGGAGGTGATCCTTGTGGCCCCCCATTGGCCCTGGAGATCATGGTTCACCAATCTGGTCAGCCTGTTGGTGTCACCTCCGTGGCGGATTCCCCTGGATCAGTTCTCCCTCAGCCAGGGGGCTATCATCCATCTGTAACCCCAGTGGACTTCCTGCAGGGGGGACTCGAGAAAGGCCTCTCCCCGAGCATGCTCCGTCATCAGGTGGCAGCTTTAGCCTGGAGATCCCGCTCTACCCCTCAGCAGGATTCCCAGAGTGCGCGGTTTCCTCAAGGGCGCTTCCAACCTCCATCCTCCCAGTGTCCACCGCTACCCCACTTGGCAGCTGTCAGTGGTTCTACGGGCGCTTACCTCTCCGCCCTTCGAGCCTCTCTGTACATCGTCTTTCCGCCACCTTACCTTAAAAACAGCCTTCCTTATTGCCATAACATCCGCCCGTCGTATTTCGGAACTGGTGGCCCTGTCCGTCCGTCAGGACCTGTGTGTCATTCACCCTGACAGGGTCGTTTTGCACCTAGACCCGGTTTTCATCCCCAAAGTCAATACTTGGTTTCACAGGGCGCAAGAAATCATCTTACCAAATTTTTGCCCACGTCCATCGCATCGCACAGAGCACACCTGGCACAAGCTGGATGTTAGGCAGGCCTTGAAGGTCTATCTCAATCGCGCTTTGGAGTTCCGTAAGTCAGAGGCCCTCTTCATTTAATTCCAGCTTGGCTCCTTGGGCAAGAAGGTCTCGTCTTCCACTGTTGGCAGATGGCTAAGGGCGTGCATCGCTTCTGCCTACGAGAACCAGTCTAGGGCCGTACCCCGACACATTACCACCCACTCTACAAGGAGCACGGCCACCTCAGTGGCCTGGGCCACCCAGGCCTCGATCAATGAGATTTGCAGGGCGGCCACGTGGTCTTCACTGTCGCCTTTCGTCAAAAATTATAGGCTGGATGTGTTTGCTTTGGCCGAGGCATCTTTTGGCAGGAGGGTACTCCAGGCAGTTGTTCCTGCGACTGAATCCTGGGACTCCGCTTCTGCCCGCCCAGATGGACAATAACTTGGGTATGTCCCATTGCTTGGAATCTCCAAGCGGTGCACAGGAGAAAGACCACTGGCTTACCTGAAGGGTCCTTCTCTGTGCACTGTGGGAGAGTCCAACCCACCCTGGTTTGTCCAGGGATTCGTGATCTTCGTGTCAACAGGATTTGGACTTTTTTGGACACACTCGCTCCATCCTCATGGTCCAGACCATCTCAATTTCTGGGGAGTGATCACACCAGGAGGCGTGGTCAGGGAAAGGTTTCCTCAGTCCCAGGGCAACCAGACTGTATTAACCATTGCTTGGACTCTCCCGTGGTGCACAGAGAAGGACCCTTTAGGTAAGTCAATGGTCATTTTCCTAAAACATAGTTATTTAGGGACAAAAACTACTGGATGTATACTTTGCTAGGCTAAGTTTTATTCAATGATGACTTAATAAGTTAGCCATTACTGCCTGGGTTTACATATCATTCTTAGGTTGCAAGCCAAAGTTCATAACCTAAAAGGCCTTGGCTTGCATACCACAATGAGGGAGAAAAAATTAAACTGGATGCATATCCAGCCATGTAAAAACAGCAACTTTTGCCCAACAAACAATGGAATTCACAAATAAGGCCAAGTAATATATCCTGATGGCAGAATCCCATTTCGGGTGTATTAAAAAAACAACAACAACAGGTATTCTGGGATCATTTGTTTGATGCCTTTGTTGCAGCACAGATGGAGAAAAGAGGCCTTATTTCTGAGATGGATCAAAGAAAAAAATGTCCCAGCTGCAAAGCTCACTTATACTCCTTAATAATAATAATAAAAGTGAACACGATAGCAGGGGCAGACTTAATTATTCAATTCTAGTTCCTGCTAATGTGGCAGGAGCCATGTTCAAGCCCCGTGCAGCTGTTCGTGATTGTTCGTGAAAGTGACCTTGTTGGGTGATCCAAGAGCATGACATTTTGGAATATACATGTTTGAATTCTCCACAGAAGGCAAGGTGGGCTCTCCTCTCTTAAGTTGGCCCAATTGTGACTTGCCTCCTCCTCCTCCAGGCCATTTCTCCTGATCAATAGCTATGAAGAATTGGGATACTGCCCAATTTCTTTCTTATTCCCTTTTCCTTTGGCTATCAGGCTAGATTATAATTTTTTTAAATGATTATTATTGTTTCTTTCATATCCATAATTTTTAAAATATTAGGTACAATAAACAAATAATTAGAATAATTTTGCAGGTAGGAGAACTCAACAATATGGTTCCACTTGATAAACCCCATCCTATCAAACCAACATGATAAAAGGTACCATATTTTTTTGAGTATAAGACACACCTCCCCCCCCCCATAAGAGGGTGAAAATCTGGATGCATCTTATACACTGAATATAGTATTTTTGGCCTCCTGAAGCCCCGCCCCTTTGCAAAAATGGCCGTGCATAGCCTTTAGGTGGCTTCCAGAGTGCTTCTGGGGGCTGGGTAGGGCAAAAATGAGCGAAAAACAGGCTCCCAGGAGCACTCTATAAGCCTCCTAAAGGCTACGCATACCCTTTTTGCAGAATTTTTGGCAACAGTACAGAACTAGTTTGCCTCTTCCTTATGGGACTTTGTTTCTTAAATTTACTGCCTACTCTACACCTTTGGGATTCCCTGGCAGCTTCCCCATTGAAGTTGCAACCAAGGCTGATCTTGCTTAGCTTCCAAGTCCAGATGACACTAAAGCCGAATGTTATTTCTCATATACTGCAGACTCCTTATTCAGTGCTTCAATCTGAAAACTAACAACCGAAATATTCCTCAGGAGTAAAGCAGTAGAGCTGAGTTCTAAATAAATCATTTAGGACTACAGATAATGCATTTCTCTGTTTTTAATGGCTTAAAATGCAATTGAAATTTAGGTCTATCCAGAGGTTCTGCCCTTATCATTAAAGTGGAATTATTACATGTAGAATTATTCCTACATACAGTCAGATGTCCCTAGGATATAAACTTGTCAAAATAGTAAAACCAGAATCACAGCATAAACTCTGACTCTTTAATATGTGTGTGTGTGTGTGTGTTATATACATATGAAAGAGGTTGTTACATGATGCTGCTTTAGTCATTTGCTCCTCTGATATCCTAAAACATAAATTGGAAGGCAAATTTTCAAAAGAAACAGCCACTATGCTTAAAACCTGTGGAGATTTTCTGTACAAATTAAATATATATATTAAGTTATGTCAATATCATACTGTAGCATTGATAGAATAAAATATATCAAACTATAACATATAAAAGTAAGCAAGAATGAAGTCAAATTGTGCTTTCAAAATTTGTTCAACTTCAAACTTACAAAAATGTTCAAGATCAGTAGGATTGTCTCTATTACTTTCTGCCAAGCTATTTAAAACAAACAAACAAACAAACAAAAATATAGAAAACAACTTTGGGGTGGCTTTAGTTCAGCATACATTGCATGCCTTTTCAAAGCAGCATTGGAGATGTCATATAAAACACAGGAATTATTGCTATTCCTAAGTGGAGGTGATTCAAGTTAAAATCACTCAACTAAGTTGGATTTCTACATTAAAAGAATCACAACTGGGGGGGACCTATTGTATGGATATTGTCTTCCATATTTCCAAGACCTTTCCTGCAATTGTTCTTTCTTTTAGGTAGAGAATACTAAGAAGAGAAACTTCGGAAAGGCTCAGTATTATTTTTAAGTCTTTGCACAACAACAGCATTTTTTAAGTTAGCTTCCTCTAGTGTGAGAGATTCATCCAGCAATTCTTGAAAAGGAAGCGAAGTAGTCAGTGTGAAAGGTCTTTTTCCTTGATGTCTCTGGTAGTCCATTATGAAGTCTCTGATGTGGCTTACTCTAAAATGGGAAGGAACAAAAATTAATGTCTGATATTTTAAACCACAGTTTTAAAGAACAAATTTCATGGAGTCATGGCAATTAGAAGAAACTGATTTTGAGGAAATCAGAACCCTCACAAACACCACATAGGCATATTCTAAGTTCTCCTATAGAACTTATTTTTATCATTTACACATTTTAAGCTGCTCATTAGAAAACCAGTTCTTCCCAAAGTAACAACTTCCATGTTATGTATGAAAACATAATGCTGCTATAAGAATATATCTGTTCAATGTTTTCTGTTTGAGATACAATGAAAGATGTTCTATCCTCAATCAGAACAGTTATAAACATTATTACACTGCATATGCAAATGCATTGTTAATCCTCCATCCCAAATTAATTTTCCCTAGAAGATCGCTAATATTGCTCTTTCTGAATCTGAAACACATGGCCAGCCATTGATAAGAACAGTTTTTCTGTAGATACTAAAGGGGGTAGGATAGCTTTCCCCAGCCTGTTGTTCTGTATCAGTTGTTGTTCTACGCAGAAGCTTTAGTATCCTGTATATGGAGAGGACAACAGTTTTTGGAAAAACCAAAGGACAGATTGTTCTTTAGCCAGAGAATCAATTTACTCACTGTTTTCCCAATCACGGCAATTTTGAAGTACGTGGACTTCAACTTCCAGAATTCTACAGCCAGCATATCAATTGATGATAATTCTAGGAATTGAAGTCAACAGGCGTCAAAACTGCTGTGATTGGGAAACAACTAATATCTTGGAGAAAAAAAGAAGTCTGGAGTAATGCAACTCCCCTCCACATGCCATGTATTTCTATATATCACACAATCCATAGAGAAACACAGTTTTTAAAAAAATATGTTTTGCAACACTTGATCAAATTCAATCAGACTCAAGTATGAAAAAGCAGCACAACTTTATTAGCAAATCAAAACAGTTTTACCTTACAGTAATTTGGATTGCAGCTGTGGCTTATTCAACAAATTAGGGCTAAGCAAACGAAGCCTAGCATAAAAACCTTGCTAAGGCAATCATTCTGACGTAAGATTTCCCGAACGTTCTGATGCCTTGATTCAGTGTGAAGCCAGTGGAAAATGAATGCAGCATGCACTGCGGCTCACGTATGTCACAATGGCTGTACCACTTTGCTTAACAGTGTTTTCTTTTTTGAATTTTTGAACAATGTACACTATTATTTTCACATATACTTTCAAATATTTATCTAGGTTTTATCCATGGCTAATACTGAAAAGCTAATATATTTCATGGCCCGGTATTCAAAACAAATTAATGTTTTAAAAGCACTTTGGCTGAAATCTAATACTTTCTTGGAAGTATGCTCCAATGGTTGCAATAGAATTTCATTTCTAAGTAAACATTCTTAGGACTAGCTTGGTGGGATGTAATTTGTCTTGAAAGGAACTAAATATCCTGTAAACTGCACAGTACATTGTAGAAAATGAATTCTGTTAATGCGATCTATTCTTACCGATGAGAAATATTGAAGTTTTGTACTATCCTTGCTCCATCTGCTAACCAAATCTGGATTCTAGTGATAGGTTCTGAATTATTTAGCACTACTGTCGGTTTTCTCTTTTCAGTTTCTTCACCTTTTTTTTTTACTTTGGAAATTATTCTAGGTGTAGCACTGAAAAATAAAGTTTTAATCATGTGAAATTACAATGCCACTTCATTCTAGTTTCTTATTTATGAGCTATGTAGCTAAACACAGTGTTTCCCCCAAAATAAGAACCAGTCTTATTTTATTTTGGGCTCCGAAATAAGAACTAGGGCTTATTTCCGATTGGTGTCCGTTTTCTTTTTTAGCTGCCCCACGTGCCCCATACCAGCTTATCTCAAGGCGCCCACTGCCAGGCCATCCATGTCCCAACACCTGCCTCGCCTTGTGGCTGTAGCACTGACATGTCGCTTGGCCTTCTGCTCTCTGTTGTTTTGGCAAGCAAGCAGAAGTGGGCCGGCAGCCATGTGGGCTTTTGCTACACATGGTTGCTGGTGCTGCCATAGAGAGGCAATTGTTGGGGTATGGACGGCCTGGCTGTGGGGACCCAAAAGTCAGTGTGCACATGGGGCAACTCAACCCCCCTCACCTCGTGTCGGTAGCACCAGGCATTTAAGTAGGACTTATTTTGGGGATAGGGCTTATATTGGGCATACATGCTAGGGCGCACATCAATGTCTTTTAATGGTTCCATAAGCCCTTGCTGGGCAACTGACTGGAGCTGAGCGTTTACTGGCCAGATGCCCTTCCTGTTGCCAATGTGGAACTATATTCAGCAGATATATTCTCTTTGTGCCCAGAAAGAGAAATATCTGCCTCTGCCTATGATCGACTTCACAGCCTCCTGATTATGAGGCTAGAGCTCCACCGCTAGGCCACTGCACCACTCATGCTAGGGTGCACATACTAGGGCTTATTTTATATTATAGCCCTTATTGTATATATATCCCCAAAACCCAACAACAGCAGCAGAGATTTCCACCATGACTCAGTATGAATAGAATTCAACATGACTCAGTATGAATAGAATTCAACATCTCCTGAAACATAATGGCCAGGACATCAAATTATGTCAGTTTTCTCCAACCTGATATCTTCCAAATTGGTTGACATTCTAAAACTTCCCAAGCCAGCCTTGGATTAGGGAAAGGTAAGTAAGATTATCAATAAGGTAAAGAATGAATATAAAGGAAGGTATCATGTACAGTTATGCTGTACAATTTGAAGGGTATTTATCCAGAGGTAACTTAATGAGAGGGAGAACTGGACTATTGTTATGATTTTTGTTCGTCTTCCAGCATCTCTTTCATTTACAAATATTATTAAACTGGTTATTTCGGTACTCAGTTATTTGGATATTCAGTAGAAAAGCAGCAATATTTTCAGTTCCAAGTTTGAAGCAAATGTTTTGTATAGGTAGTCCTTGATTTACAACCATCGGTTTAGTGATTGTTCAAACTTCTAATGACACTGAAAAGTTATTTACGACTTGCACTTATGACATCTTAGCATCCCCATGGTCACGTCAAAATTCAGGTCCTTGGCAACCAGGATGCATTTACAATGATTTTTAGCATCTGAGGGTCATGTGAACCCTCCATTTGTGGCCTTCTCAGATAGTTTCCACAAGCAAAATCAATGGGAGAAGTTGGATTTGCTTAATGACCCTGATTCTTTTAATACCTGCAACGATTCATTTAACAGCCATGGCAAAAGTTGGAAAAAACAAGTTGTCAACAGAAATTCTGGTGAAGGGTCCTCGGTTCTCTCTGAGCTTGTTTTCTTGAAGACCATTGCCCTAACTAGGTAACATCATCAGTGCTGGTGAGCAATGCTGTTTGCTGTCAGTTTAATATTCTAGTGGCTTGCCTGTCATTATTGGTGGGGACGGTCTTAGAGATTCTTTGATTGGGCTGTTTACTGATGGCTCTTTGGCAGTTTTTGATTGGGGTGTTGCTTACTTCAGAATGTTGGTCTGAAATTAACCTTGGAGTTAATCTATGGTGATCTAGGTACTGAATACTGGTGAAGAGGTGCTGGAGTCTTTTTGTTCTCTTTTGGGCTGGTTGATAGTCTTTTTGGTTCCACCACAAATGTGCGCACAACAAAAGCGCGCCTGACTAAACCGCGGTGTCTAAAGCGCGGTGACAAAACCGC